GCCCATCCTGGTAACCGGATGTCTTTATTCTCTTATCTGATTACGTAATCTTTGTCTTTAACCTCACCCTCCTTTTTTATAATCTGTAATTTTGATTGTCATTTGTTTCTATGATTTGAGTTCAACTCAGTACATCGTTACCTAACTTATTAGTCACTATGCATATAATGCACATCTCATATTTATTACGCAACTTCTTTACCACAATATGCATACATTTATTTTCTTTAAACTTGAACTGCCTGTGTAAAAACTAGATAAGCGCAATTTTCTGAGCACTGTTTACTAATTGTAGAGCTTTCTGTTAACTGACAACATGTTAAATTTGCAAGCTGTAAGCAGCTGATGAGAAGCCAACGAAATAAACAATGATGGTACCATATTATTCTGCACAAACCACCACTGTTGTGTTCTTGCTTTATTCAAACTGCGTTAGCAACAGGATACTATGTATATATTTCAACAATCTATTTCATGTCGTTTAATGTAAAAAACCAAAATCACATGCTCAGTGATCGGCTAGAGAATATAAACTGTAGATATACATAAACAGCGGTTCGACTAATGAAAAATAGATTTTGACTTCCATGTCTTGCCTTCTGTGGTTACATCTTGGTGTCACTGCCTTCTGACAAATAGAAAGCCTATGCACTGCAGTTTTTGATGGAGACATATGGATCTTCGTGCAGGACTTTAAGGCTGTTGCGCAGTTGAATGGAGTTCAAGATCCATCAGCGATGAAGCTATTATTTGGAACGCTTTTGGGAGGTCGAGCGACAGCAGCATATGATGGAGGGAGGCAAAACCACGGGGAACACACACGAACCAGGGTCATGAAAACTGCTCTCAAATTGAGAAAGGTCTATACTTGGTCACTGTGGGACCGGGCCACGCACGTTTAAACGATCACAAATGCAAACAACTAGAAGTGAAGTGTACTTCAGCGCGCTCCGGAACTTGATACAGCAAGACGACCTAACGAAGCCTCCAGCACCAAGAAGATCGAATTGACTGCAGTCGAAAGATTTTGACTGGGCGGGGGGGGGCGAGTGTGGTGGTGTGATACAGACAATGTGTGCCAACGGAATTTGACTCTCGCATATTCCCACAATTCAATTCGGAATTAGCAAAACAATACGATATATCTATTTGAACATTCTGTTTGATGTTTGAGACAGAATACTTTTCTCACGGTTATATACTGCGTAAGCAACAGAATACACTATGTATATTTGATCATTCTATTTCATGTTGTTTGATGTGAACTGTAACCACACGCTCAGTGATTGATTAATGAATATAAACTGTAGCGACAACAACAACAGACAACAATCAGCATAAATGGGAGGAACCTGAAGGAAACAACCTCCTTTACCTACCAATTTGGGAAGCATCGTTTCAACTACAGGCCAGCGGAACTGGCGAGGATATCAAAGCCAGAATCGGAAAAGCAAGACAAGCTTTCATTACTCTCAAGTCTGTGCGAAGGTCAACACCACTAAGCATCAAAAATAAGATCCGGATTTTCACCTCCAATGTGAAGTCAGTCGGTGCTACTTACTATACAGTTCAGAGACTTGGCGTGTCATAAAGAGCATCTCAAACAAAATTCAAACCTTCATTAACAGCTGTCTTCGGTCAATACTTAAGATCAGATGGCCAGAAAAAATCAGAAACAGGGAGGGATCACTGGGAGCAAACCAACCAGGAACCCATTGTGAAACAAATAGTCAGGAAGAAATGGAGATGGATTGGCCATACGCTGAGGAAACCATCAAGTGAGTGACATCACTAGACAAGCCATTGCTCGAGTGGAACCCGAAAAGGAAGCAGTGAACTGGTCTTCAGTGGAAGGGTGACTTGAAGGAGGTCATGTGAGGAGGAGATGAAAGCATGTGGGCAGACACGGAGCGGGGTAAAAAATTTGGCAGAAAATAGAAGGCAGTGGAGATGCTCAGCGGAAGCCCTATGTTCCTCTAGGAATTAAAGGATATAATAATAATACATAAACAGCGATTTGATTAATGAAAAATATATTTTGGGTTCCGTATCTTGCCTGTTATTGTTACAATACTACAACTTCTGTTATTTTCTGAATTCCTGTATAAATATTCCTATACTTGATGCACGACAGTGACAGATGTGCAATAAAAATTAGTCGGATTCTCATTAGCAACTGGTTGTGTACAGCAGAAGTTACTTCGAGTTCCAGTGGAGTGTACTACGACAGGTAGGTGGACAGTAACTCATCAATGACACTGGCTAACGGTTGCACTATATACCTTTTGAGAATGGTCGGCAAGCTCACCTTGTCATTATAATGTTCTAGGTTCGATTACCAGGGGGTGGATACTTATGAAGAGTCCCAAACTAGGACGAAACAGCTGTTCAGTACTTCCTGAATGGGTTTTCCAAAAATTTTCTAATTGTTACCAGAAGGTCCTGGATTCGAACCCGCTGTGGTGGGTGCATACTGTTGAAGAGTCTCACATTAGGACCACATTATAAGAAGTCATAAAACAAACTGAGAGTAAACCGTCAGTTAACAAATTGCAACGAACTCCACTCAGAATACAACAAGAAATGGCATGAAGTTGAGTAATCATCACACTTAAACTGTCATTCTATCCCATCCAACCTATTGTATCGTTGTGTGTAATTGCATGTAGTGAGTGCTATAGCTGAACTATTCTCTAGATTTCTTATCTTATTCGGGTCAACGAATCTAGATTTTGCTGCTGGGTTTTTATGTTCGACTAGTCGGATTGCCCCTGTTCAACTAGTTTGACCTATGTGTTTGAGCTGACAATCCTCGCAGACAGGGTATTAGATAAATTAAATTGTTTTGTTTTAAAGGCTCCACAGGATTGATCCTCAAACTGACAAAGCTTGTTTCTCTAATTGAGTTTGTGGCTGGTTTGAATGCCAGCCACTTTTATTCCTGCCTGTCTTGTTAAGAATTCTGCGTAAGGCTTTGAAGGTTTCTTCCTTGTATGGAATTACTGTTGATGATTTAGATTCCTTATTCTTGGTGTCGTCACTAATATTATTATTATTATCACTATCACTACTATCATTATTTATTTCATTTTTACATTTCCCTATATACTTTCTGACTAATCTATCAGGGTAATTATCAAGTTTCAAAGCTTCTCTTATATACCTCACTTCGTGTCTTAGATTTACCTTAGTACTACTTAGGTTTTGTGCTCTGTTGTCACTTCAACATTTCACTAATCCTATTTTTACTGACATACGATGGGATGACCGAAAGTCCAAATATTTGTTTGAATGTGTAGGTTTCCTCTAAGAACGCACTAGTGTGTTTAACTTCCCATCTTCTCTTCTGTTTACACTGTAGCACTACATGCAGTTACACACAACCAACCATACAATAGGATGGGATGGGAGAGAATGACAGTCTTATTATCTAATGTAACAGGGTGGAAGGAAGGAGAGATTGGCAACAGAAGATTTGTTCATCGAATCAACTGACAGGGAATACATGTAATAGGAATGATTCATCACATGTCCACTCAGATATCTGGAAAATTCTACTACCCTTACGACGACAAATAGGAGAGAACAATGAAAGTAAACTATAAAACTCAAGTTTCAAAGTCGTGTGATTACAACTGACATAATATGATTATGAACCGCAATAAATTTTGTTCGAAAAGTCATCCAGTAAAGAAGATATACAAGTGTTGATTTGAAGGGATTTGATTGGTTGCAGAATAAGATTTTATTTCGATAAATCGCACAGTGTTGTACAGTTATATGAACTGATGGGACCACGTTTTGAGCACAAACTATTGCCACTCATAATCATATCAAGTAACTCACACAACTTTGTTCTTTCATTTATATGCATGTGTAGAATCGATTAGATATTGGATTAAAATCAATGTGAGATAATGTACATTCAGAAATAATAGTACGAGTGTTGTTGATCAATTGCCGTTAGATGGGAAGAAAGGACGAGTGTGTTTTACAGTCATAATAAGCTACTTGTTAGAGTGTTGTGTTTGAATGTGTTTGAATTCAAATAGAATTTAAAGATTATTTAATATCTTCTTCTGATTTGATTGATGGCAATAATACGAGTGTTACTGATCAACTATAATCAGATGGGAAATACGACGAGTGTTTTAATAGTCATAATAAGTTTTTATGTTAGAATGTTGTGATGTCTTTCAATTGAAATAGAATAATATTAATATTAATAATAATATTAAAATTCTATTTCAATTCAAACACAGCATTCTAACAAGTAGCTTATTATGACTTTAAAAAACACTCGTCCTTTTTCCCATCTAATTGCAATTGATCAACAACACTCGTACTATTATTTCTGAATGTACATTATCTCACATTGATTTTAATTCAATATCTAATCGATTCCACTCATGTATATAAATGAAGCAAGAAATTTGTGTGAGTGAGTGACTTCATATGATTATGAGTGGCAATAATAATTTGTGCTCGAAACGTGGTCATCAGTTAATATTACTGTATAACACAACAGTGTGTGATTTATCAGAATAAAATCTTATCCATAATAGAGTTATACTCTACCACCACAGTGCCGTAGTTTTATACTTATATCAATAATTGGTTACAGGATTTTCATCATGATCTGACATTAGTTAGTTAGAGAACCATTGGAAAACCAGCCAGGGAGTACTGCACAGCTGTTTCTGTTGTCCTAGTTTGGGACTCTTCAGCAGTATGCACCCACCTAATTGGGGTTCGAACCCAGGACCTTTTGGTTACAAGGCTAGCGAGCTAGCTGGTAGACCATTAAGCCACTGGGACCCAATCCAATGGCCTACGAATTCTAACTTCTGACAATTCACGGCATACCACGACCCACTAACCCCTTGATTATACTTGACTCTGAATACGACAAGGAATTGTATGAAGTTGAGTAATCATCAGACTACTTACTACTCATCAGTGCATAATAGAACTCATGACAATAGCAACAACAACAAAGTAGGAAAAGATTTTTATTTTTTAAATTATTTTTTATTATTTTTTTCTACACAATTTCCCACACATCAGGAAATAATAATAATGATGATAAAAGTGTAATTTTATAGAAAGACAAAGAATGACGCTGAGGAAAAAACAAAACAGGAAGAAGGTGGTGGTGGAACAAAGTGACGCTTGTTGTTTTTCAACACTAATCTATGTGAATACTACTATTGACTAACTAACTAACTGACTAACTAACTAACGCCACTACCTGACACTAGAAGTGAAGAATGAAGTGTAGTAAGAGAGGGAAAGGTGAGAAAAACCTAAGTAGAAAAACAAGACGAGAACGCAGCAGAAGAGAGAGGTACATACAAATTAAGCAAGCCGAAGGCAGATGACCGGAGGACACAGGATGACTGTTTTGCAGCGTGTGTAAGCCTCTAGCCAACTATACCAGGGCACATTCATATGTAAGGCATGATTGAGATTATGGATTCACAGGAGAGATACAGGAGAGGGCTACTAAATGAAGGAGAACTACTAACCATCACTAGGAGCAGGTCAGTCATTGATGAGGAGAGGAAAGTGGAAACAATGAGGTAAACACAGACACGCCTACACACACACACAGGCACACACACGCCCCCACACAAATAGTTGTGACTAGTTAAAGCCTTTTTACCTATACTCATGATAATAATAAGAAGAGGTGAGCAAAATCATAAAGGTATTTTGTGTATACATACATTGTGGCATTACAGGTATAATGTGTTATGTAATACATATCATAACTGAAGAGGAAATTTTAATATGCACATAAATATACGCGCAAAAATTGAAAGTATTTAGACATTTAAGTAAGGGAGAGAAAGAAAATCAAATCAAGTCGAATCGAATCGAATCAACTGAATTGAGTAGTACTAGGTTACTACTACTACTACTATTATTGGACATTACAACTAATTGCTAGACGTTTCTCTGGACTCCAGCATTTATTACAAGTGAGTAGTTGGGAAACACCCCGTACCATATACGACATTGTACCAAATTTACCAGCTGGTGGAGTGTCATAAAAATGTTGGCATATATTATGCATACCATGACACATTAGATGACTTTGTCGACGACCTGTTGTTGCTGCTGCTGTTGTCGATGATGATGCGTCAGTGACTCCTGATTTTGCACAGCATAATGTAGCATTTGCACCATATTTCATCTAAAATTAGAGATAAATAAGCAAGATTTGAAAATTAAAAAAAAGAAAGTTATGCGCTATATCGAACTATCATGGGCATACAATATATTGTCGTTATTACTACTGTGGTGAGTGCTACTTGGTAGACTGGATAATGCGACAGACAGACAGACAGGTGGCAGTGAGGAAAGGGGCATATGGTGGGTTCACACAAAAAAGAACCTGGAGGATCTGGAATTTGCCGATGATGATATATTTCTCTGATTTCCCACAAACTGGAAGATATGCAAGTGATGAAAAGCAACAAGTTGGCGATAGAAGAAGCATTCAGAGAAGATAGGACTTCAGGTGATAATGATTCCTGGCCAACATCAATGGCAATGTCAACAGACAACAATCAGTATAAATGCGAGAAATCTGAAAGAAGCAATCTCCTTTACCTACCCACCTACCTCGGAAGCATCGTTTCAACTACAGGTGGACGGAATTGATGAGGATATCAAAGCGAGGATCGGGAGAGTAAGGCAAACTTTCAATACTCTCAATTCTGTGTGGAGGTCAACAGTCAGTACTCAGCATCAAAAATAAGATCTGGATTTTCAACTCCAATGTGAAGTCAACGCTACTTACTATAAGGATCAGAGACTTGCACTCCGCGTCATGAAGAGCACCTCAAACAAACTACAGACATTCATCAACAGCTATCTTCGCTCAAAATCAGATGGTCGGCCTGAATCGATCAGCAATAGCGAGGGATCTCTGGAAGTGAACCAACACAGCAGGAAGCAACGGTACAACAAATATACAGGAAAAAAAATGGAGAAATGAAGAAATGAGAAAAAAACCATTAAGTGAGTGACATCACATGCTAGGCCATCATTAGAGAGTGGAACCCGAATGGAAAGTGGCGAATTGGTCTTCAGTGAGAGGTTGACATGGCGGAGGAGGAGGACATGTGAAGAGGAGATGAAAGCATGTGAGCAGACATGTGGAGCCAGATGAAAACACTAGCAGAGGACCGAACGTAATGGAGACGTGCAACTAAAGCCCTATGTTCCTCTAGGAAGTAAAGGAAACAATTTGAGTGTTGCTTATAATTAGATATAAGTAGTATATCAGTAAACGAATTCAGAAAAGTAACAATATGTTTTGAGGCATTGGAAAAAGGCAATTGAAGAAAAGAAATATGAGAAAAACGTTAGAAACACTGTGTAGAATCCAAAAAACTATCGGATGTGGTGATTGATATTCGATGAAATTTGCAAATGATGTGCAAATAAAGACTTGAAGGTATTACTAAAGGTGAACATTGCCTTCAAGCCTCATAGGTCTTTTCTTTTACACACGACTACTTCAATGGAAGAATACTCTTGAAGTATCGTCTTCGTTGCCTTCAAGTGTGGAAGGGTGAATGTGAACATTTAGTGCTTACAACCAGACGGGTAAACATGCAAGAGAGCCGAGAAACTCTGATTCAAAGACTATGGTGTGTACGTTGAGTTCCAGAATCCAACCACCTCTTTAGGTGGTTGACACCAACAGCTAAAGACTTCATCAACTGATACCAAGTGTTGACTTGACCACTCCTCTGATTCTTTTATAATCGAATCCCATGTTAATATAAGTGTAAAACTTGGGAACTGTGAAAGAGTATAACTTCATTAAGAATAGAATTTTATTTTGATAAAACCACACACCGGTGTTGTACAGTAGTAATAACTGATGACCACGTTTCGAGCACAAATTATTGCCACTCATAATCATATCAAGGCACTCATTCACACAACTACTTTCTTGCTTCATTTATATACACATCAGTGGAATTGATGATTAGACATTTGAATAAAAGTCAATATGGGATAATGTACATTCAGAAATAATAATAATAATAATAATAATAATAATAATAATAATAATAATAATAATAATAATATGAATGTTATCAATCAATTACAGTTAGATGGGAAATGGGACGGGTGTTTTCATAGTCAAAATAAGTAACTTGTTAGAATGTTGTGATGTGCTTGAATTGAAACAGACTACAATTTAAGATTATTTATTATTCTCCTCTGATTTGACTGACTGACTGACTGGTGGTAATAATATCTTCCATGCATATCTCTGGTATTTGCCCTGTGTCATTTCTGTTGCGTGTGTTGTGTTGTGTAGGGTGTAGACTCAATGAACCAGATCGGATTCAGTAATCAATCTCTCTCTCTCTCCACCTATCTATATTACTTCTTAGAACTGAAACCCTCTCCCATCATGCTATTGTGTGCTTGTGTTAATGCATGCAGTGCTCTTTCTGAGTATTTTTGTAAATTACATATCTTCTGGAGGTCAACCATTCTTACCTTAGCTAAATTCTAATGTTCTGATAATCTGACTACCCTCGACCTATTAGTTTAACCTATGTAGTTGACCTCACTCACAGTTATTGCAGGGTATTTTGTAAATTATATTATTCTGTCTAATTGGGTCAACCTACAGGGTCCTTTCATCTGCAGAGCTTGTCCTAACTGAGTGAGTTTGTTGGTTTTAATGCCACCTGCTTTAATAAGAATCCTACGTAGAGACGGTCTCAGATGTCCCCTCCTTATATGATAAAACTATACATGCCTTATATTCTCTCTTATGTATGTTATCATTATTAGTTTCACTATTATTTTTATTTTCCATTTGACCTTTTTTGATATTCTTTATGAATTCTATAGGATAGTTGTTCAGCACCAACGCTTCTTATACCTGTTTCATTTCATCGTTTAGGTATTTCTTTGTGCTACTCAGTGTTGGTATTGCTCGGTTTGTTAGGCACACTTAACTAAAATATGTGATAAAAGTTATATGGGGTAGAGTTGAAGTGGATAAATTACAAAAATATTAGAGATTGTTCTATAACAAAAATGTCAAGTGTTGTCTAAAAATTTTGAAAATTAGGAGTACGATTACGATAAGAATGAAGATGTGAAGTGAAGTGGAAAGAATTCAAGTGGTAAAATAAAATAAAAACTATAAAAAACATTATTATGACCAAGGTAATCTCCGAAAACGTGTAGCAGAACACCATCCGGTTTGGTTAATGAAAGGCGAACGTAGAACGTAGAAGTCGTCTATTTGTGATCACCTGTTAGAGTCTGGTCATTTAGTCCCACGTGATTCATCTTTCAAAGTTATATACATGGCGAAATCGAATCGATCCAAAAGTTTACGTTTTCTTATCTTATGCATAGCCGAAGCTTTAGCTATACATGAACAGAAACCTATATTATGTGTTCAAAAGCGTTTTGTCAAACCCCTTTCTTTACCTTGGTCATAATAATGTTCTTTCTAGTTTCTATTTTATTTTATTTTACCACTTGAATTCTTTCCACTTCACTTCACATCTTCGTTCTTATCGTAATCGTACTCCTAATTTTTTTTAATTTTTAGACAACACTTGACATTTTTGCTATAGAACAATCTTTAATATTTTTGTAATTTATCCACTTCAACTCTACCCCTTATAACTTTTATCACATATATACGTACATTGACTGAGCAATTAATTATTTAGTGCCACTTAATAACCTTTTTCTGTAATATAAATACGACTGTACAGCTTGAAAATGAAGTCGTTGAAAAGAAATTTCTTCGCTGAACAAAAAAGGAACTGTGTTTTTACTTATGAATAAATGGGTATTTTTCGACACTCAACTAAGCCAGCCTTCACAGATAGATAACGACAGATAAGATGAATTAAAGTCTAAATATTTATTAGTTGTGTAACTAACTTCATATGATTATGAGTGGCGATAATTTGTGCTCGAAACTTGGTCATCAGTTAATATTAACATATAACAACACTGTGTGATTTATCAGAATAAAATCTTATGCATAATGAAGTTACAGAGTTCCATTATAGATAAGATTTTATTTTGATAAATCACACAGTGTTGCACAGTTATATGAACTGATGACGTTTCGAGCACAAACTATTGCCACTCATAATCATATCAAGTCAATACTCACACAACTTTCTCTCCTTCATTTATATACATGAGTGGAATCGATTAGATATTGAATTAAAAATCAATGTGAGATAATGTACATTCAGAATTAATCGTACGAGTGTTGTTGATCAATTGCAATTGGATGGGAAAAAATGGACGAGTGTTTTTTAAAGTCATAATAAGCTACTTACTTTGTTTTATTTCCTCATTTAGGTCTTATTTTGTGCTGCTTAGTGCTATGGCTCGATTTGTTAGACACTTTACTAAGCCTGCCTTAACAGTTAACGGATGAGGTGATGAATTAAAGTCTAAATATCAATTAGCAGAATGCGTTGGTTTTCTATAAACACTAGTGTGTAGTTTGCCTTCTTCTATTCGTTTTATTTTACAATCTAACATCACAGCTAATTCACCTGGTACACAGAGTTGGTTTAGCGACAACACGCCACTCACCCACCCTACTGACAGCTTTCATTCCTTTTCGCAATATAACAAAGTCTTTCTTAAGTAGCCTAGGAAAGATTAAGTTAGAAGGGTGGGGCAGTAGCAAAGAATAACAATAATAAACTGATGAGATCTGGTCATATAACTCACACACACACACACACACACGCTAATTCACTAAGGCCCTAAGGCAGTAAAGAATACAATTAAATTTAACTTTTTACGAGTTGATCACGGATTGATATCAGTTAGAGAACCATTTAAAACCAGCCACAGGGAGTACTGGACAGCTGCTGTTTCATCCCAGTTTGGGAATCATCGTCAGTACGCACCCACTGGGCTTCGAACCCAGGACGTCCCGGTTACAAGGCAAGCTCGTTGGGGTCGTGCTAAATCACGAATTGGCAGAAGTTAGAATTCATAAGCTATTGAATCGGGTCCCAGTGGCTAAACGGTATGCGAGCTTGCCTTGTAATCGGAAAGCCCTGGGTTCAAACACCACTGTGGTGGGTGTGTACTGCCGATGATTCCCAAACTACGATGAAACAGCAGCTGCCCAGTACTCGCTGTGGCTGGTTTTCAATGGTTCTCTAACTGATACCAATCCGTGATCAACTCGCAAAAACATAACTAACCCTTACAAACCAAAACTATAGTAAATTTAACTTGTTCTCATTTACAGACAAACAGTCATATAAATAAATGTGAAACATGCCTCAGATTGCAAGTGATAAAACAAAAACTCTTTTTTTTCACGTATCGATCTGTTTAATGTTCCACTAGTCCTACATGCCTACATTTGTATATATATCGAGAAATGTGACTTTTTTATTCCTTTCAGGAAAAAAAAGCACCTTTAATAATAGGAAATCGATTAACTTCAATGCGGGTTACGTCACGGATCCATATCAGTTAGATAAACACGGAAAATACCCAGTGAGTCATGAAGAAAATAAAAGACTGTTATGTACTCGTCGCTGAGTTATTGTTATGGACTGGTCGAGAAACTAATAGTCCTGACGCGAGAAGGCGGAAATCAGAAGACCACTAGGTTTGCGATGATACTTCTATTGTCCAAACACAAGGAGACGAAAATAAATGGTCTCACACCAAAGTGATAAGTAAGTAAAGTAGTTCACACAAATTGTGAATGCGAATATATATAAATAATTCAGACAAGCGTGGGAAAAATCATTAGACAGTCTTAACATGAATGGCTAATTATAATGGAGTGTCGATCCAATTATACATAGCGAATATAGCAGACATGCCAACAAACATATATGGATATATGTCACCAAGCAACGGACTGTCAACAAACACTCATATTATATATAATATAATATAAGGGGAATATACATTATTAAAGGAGACAAGTTCATACAAGTGAAGTGGTCACAGACTAACCGAGCAAACAGAAAGAGAGACCAACATGCACACACACACATAAATATATATATGTGGATACATATCACCTCCCCTTTTGAGAAGATGGATGATTAGTAGGATGTTTACCTGGGGGTTTATCTGGGACCTTTGGGCTTGTTGTTGACGCCTGTCGTTTCGTCTGATTGTTGGGTTTGCGGCTTCGGCTCCGTCCGGAATTGTCTAGCATTTTATGCTTCTTCACTGTATTGCGTAGAGAATTTAGTGGGACATCAGCCAGATGCAAACGATCGAACCAATCAAGTCCCAAAACATTTAAATCATTCTTCGTGACGTAACAAATTCCTGTGAATTTGGTATTGCGGAAGGAAACAGAACATTTGAGTTCACCAATTAGTTTGAGCCGCCCACCACAGGCGCTGACAAGAGACTGGGAAGTATTGGTGATAGGTGGTCTGCCAATATAATTCCAAAGTTTCTCTGATATAACAGTAATATCAGAGGCGGTATCTAGCTGCAGACGTGCATCATGACCATTCATCTGAAGGTCAAGATATTTCCGCATAGCTGGTGTTGTGACTTGACGGGTTGCGCGTAGACTCAATGACTTTTTGGGGGATTTAGGACCAACATTTTGTTGAGCTTTTGCTGGATTTTGACATCTGGGTTTGCGTGGCTGACAAAAACCATTTTTATGACCGATGATCTTGCACTTGCTGCAACGATGATTTTTGTATGGACAAGACTTTACAAAGTGCCACGCGCCACAATGCCAGCATGGTGATGGAGGGGTCTTCTTTGTCGTATTTTGTGAAGTTGGACGAGTATCTGTAGATTTCCGCGGAACATTAGAGAAGAAGGTGGGTCAGGAGTAGCTGATGAGAGATTTTTGCTCTTGCGTAATGCACGAATATCAGAGCTTCTCGGAGGTGTTGATTCGACCAAGTGTGTGTCTTTCTGCAGATTAATCAGCCGTTGATATTCATCAGCTATGTCATGTAATGTTAACTTGGGATTTTGTTCTAGCTGATTGAGCAGTCGAGTTCGGATATCTGTGAAACGAGGAGATTGGAGACTGCATATGAGAATCAAGGCTTTGAACTGATCATCTGTTAAGGACCTGAGTCGAAATCTCTCACATTCTCGGTTGACTGTGCCAACGTGAGTAAGAAAATCATCATTTTCATTCATTGCCAGCTTGAGGCAACGATAACGTATACTGAATAATGAGGAGTGGTCTCCGAAATGTTCACGCAGCAACTTTATTGTATCATCGAAACAATTGTCACGTGGTTTCTGTGGTAAAATTAGGTTGCAGTACCGTTCATATTCTGCCGGACCCAATTTACGTAGCAAAACTCGCACCTTCCAGGCATCGTCTTGTGAGGCGAGATCAACAGTGAATAAATCCTCATAACGTTGATACCATGTGTCAAAAGTGACATTAGCCTCTGGGTCATAATTGAACTGTGAAATGCTGTTCACAATTCCGTCGACAGATGGTAGCATGGTATGATTGGGATTGCTTGAAGGTGAAGCTGGACCAGTCTGTTGGTTGACGAACATTTCCATTAATTTCAATTGTTGTTCAAACAATAATTCCAATTTAGAATAATCCATAGTAAATTGTTATGTTGCTGCTGCTGAGTGGTTAATAGTAGTTTTCCCCGTCGCCAAATTGTTATGTTCTAGTTTGCCCGTCGCCAAATTGTTATGTACTAGTAGTTTCCCCGTCGCCAAATTGTTATGTTCTAGTTTTCCCCGTCGCCAAATTGTTATGTACTCGTCGCTGAGTTATTGTTATGGACTGGTCGAGAAACTAATAGTCCTGACGCGAGAAGGCGGAAATCAGAAGACCACTAGGTTTGCGATGATACTTCTATTGTCCAAACACAAGGAGACGAAAATAAATGGTCTCACACCAAAGTGATAAGTAAGTTCGGTGTTGTATTGACAAATTGCCAGCGCCTCCGTCATACACAAAAGCCGAAACCTGACGCCCTTTATACCATTTGATTTCACTTTGTAGATGATCTTTTGTGTATGGCGTAGGCGCTGGCGATTCGTCGATTAAACCCCGAACTCTGTTTACAGAAACATTTTGTCCAGTCTCTTATTCTATCTTGGTCTTAACCTCTTCACTGATCGCTCCCTGTAAAAGATTTTCATGTTTCTTTTATTTTTTAATTTTACTTTTAGTTTGCTTTTACTTTAATAATTAATTCACTATTATCACTCTCTCACGTTCCTTTTGTGCATTTTCAGACCCTCTTCACACTTGTTAAATTGACACGTAACTGCCATCTTTATTCTCACTATGCAATAGCAATTTTAACCTCATCAAATTTCTATCTTTGTGCCTTTGAGTACCAGGTAATTTACAACTTTTAATTTTTGTTTTTACTTCTAAAGCCATTTCTGAGTAATTATATCAATTATGTCACCCCCTCCATCTATTATTCAATAATAGACCACTACATATAGTTTTTGGTAAGTATAAATACGACTGTACGGTAGCCTTTGAAGATGATTTCGTCGATAAAGAAGCATTTTCTTCGCTAATGAATTTATCTTTAAATTAGATAATCATTGAGAAATCAAGTAGTACAGAAAAATTGTTTTCTTCAATTTCCAAACCTAAAACCTTCACCAGAATTCGAACCTATGGCCTTGAGATCACACAAAGCGACCCAGCTGACTATTGAATGACCCATGAATTCTAGTCACCGCTGCTAAGTAATCCTTCAATCCTTCCAGATAATTCTTTAACTGGTGATTTATTCCGGCTTGATCATGAGCAGACATCAATTAGAGAACCAGGGGTAACTGCACATCTACTTCGTCCTAGTTTAGTACTCTTCAACAGTACGAACCCGGCCCCACAGTTTTTCGAACCCAGGACTTTCTGATTACAACGTCTTAGATTCGAATTTAAAGGGGGGGGGGTGCGAGCAATTTTGAAGATTACCCAACCAGGACGAAACAGCTTTTTAGTACGGCCTGGTTTTTTATTCAGTGGTTTCTTTAATACCAAATGAAATCACTGGAATCCAACACTTTATAATACAATGAAGAGAAAAAGCAACAATAACTGAAAACCTTTTAACACTTACTTGATCAATTAAAAATAGATGATTTGCTTTTTCAATAATATCTTCAACCTTAACAATACAATCTAGGTAGAGTGAATTGTCAATATCATACATCATTAAGGAGCCGAGTACATGAATTGCTTCAATTATCAATTGACGATATTCTGGTGTACTAACCATTGTACAGACACGTTCTACAGCCAGTGCAAATTTATGCTCACCAATTGTCATCTAAAAATGAAAATAATTATAACAGAATTGCAAACAGATAATAGAATAATAATACTTGGTGGACGCCAACAATTACACACATCTCATCCAACAGTTAAACGATAATCCTGAGCATGTCAAGTAATCCACAACGGGAAACTCACGGAATCCTTCGAAGAAGTGAAGATGGGAGTAAGGCAAGGCCAGCTAGCCGCCTGCTATCTCTAATGGTTAATTTCCTGATTCCGGTAGACTGGATAATGCGACAAACAGCGGCGGACAGCGAGGGAACGGGCATAGGTTGGAGCCACACAAAAAGAAACTTGAAAGATCTGGACTTTACCGATGACATATACATCTGATTTCTCGCAAACTGGAAGGTATACAAGTGAAAAGCAACAAGCTGGCAGAAGAAGCATCAAAGACAGGACTTAAGGTGAACATAGATAAAATAGAGGTGATAACGATTTCTGGCCAAAAGCAACAACAACAGACAAAAATCAGCCAGCATAAATGGGGGGAATCTGAAAGAAGCAACCTTTTTCACCTACCTACTTATCTACCCACTTGGGAAGTATCGTTTCAATTACAGGCGTACGGAACTGATGAAGTTATCAAAACAGAGAGAATTGGGAAAGCAAGGCAAGCAAGCTTTCATTTCTTTCAAGTCTGTGTGGAGGTCAACAGCACTCAGCATGGAAAATAACACACGAGTTTTCAACTCCAATGTGAAGTCAGTCAGTGCTACTACAATACGAATCAGAGACTTGGCCAGCGCGTCATGAAAAGCATCTTAAAAAAACTACAGACCTTCATTAACAGCTAGCTGTCTTCGCTAAATACTACTCAAGATCAGATGGCCGGCCAGAAAAGATCAGCAACAGGTATCTCTGGCAATGAGCGAATTAACCAGGCACTGATTGTGAAACAAATAGGCAGGAAGAAATGGAGATGGATTGGCTGGTCATTCTCTCAGAAAACTGTCAAGTGACATCACTAGACAAGCTATTGCTCGAGTGGAACCCGAGTGGGGAAGCGGCGAGTTGGTCGTCAGTGCGAGGGTGTGACATGGAGTAGGTCATGTGAAGAAGAGATGAAAGCATGTGGGCAGACTTGGGGAGGAGTGAAAACGTTGGCAGAGAACCGAAGGCAATGGAGACGCGTGGCTGAAGCCCTATGTTCCTCTAGGAATTAAAGGAAATAATAATAATAATCATAATAATCACAGACACAATCAACTTATGCATAATTCAATTTCAAATGTGGCAGATCAACTTTTTCTAGATAGTTTTTATTAAGTTGTGTATGTGTGTATGTGTGTTTGAGCATTAATCATTTTGTCGCTCGAAATGAAATAAATGCGTAAATGAAAGAAATCTGATCATGGCTAAAACCAAAAAGAAAAAAACAAAAGAAGAAAGGAGTAACACACATTCTCTCGGAATTGATTTTTAAAACTTTCTCTGGTTTATTTGTTTTATTCGTTTGTTTGTTTAATCGTTTCAATCCTATTCAAAATATCAAACCGCGTATGTGAACTACTAATGATATTTGAAAAGACTAAAATGTACATGGTATTAAGTATAAAGCTATTCGATATATGTGCGTATACACAACGTTATTTCTAAGTGTATTTAACCGTTGTCCTATGTACAGCTTAAATTATGAATACGTTCATGTGGTTATTGATCTACATGACCTATATTTGATAGACTTTCTATACACCGTAGCGATGTAAGTGAAAAATGACTATTTCCTCAGGCTCCTAAGTGAAATACAGTGGAGGGGGAAGGCTTCAAAAGCACACACCTTCATTTCATCTGTTTCTGTGAAATCCTTTTTAGTTGGCTTCACGATCACCCATAAGCTGTTATCTTCCGATGATATAAGATGTGGTTGGAGTCAATCGGCCACAGAAAGCCTTACTTGACTTGGGTTTCGTGCTAGTTGGAGGCACTCAACAGTCACATTCAGCAAGGCGTATCTGCAATTACCTTGCAAGAAATCCTATCCCTTCTTAAATTCGAACCCGTGTCACCCAATGCTGGCTGTAATCAGAGATATTATCACCAATGAGCTATTTTGGAACTCACGATTGACCTCCTGTGGGACTGTGAATGTATTGGATACTTTTGATTGAATACTTGGGATATAGACACAGGTCCTCTGTCCCCCTGACTGAGGTCACTAAAGCTGTCACTAGTCTGAAACAAGGCAAAGCAGTGGGACCGGATGGAATGACTCCAGAGGTGTTTAAAAACGGTGGAAACAGTTTACTGTCGGCATTAACTGAGCAGCGTCTAAGCAGCGTCTGGGAATCAGAAGAAGTCCCTTCGGGTTGGTGTAAGTCACTGATTGCCTCCATATATAAGAAGGGAGACAAGTCTTCCTGTGATAATCACAGAGGGATTAGCTTGACTAATTTAGTATCTAAGATCCTAGGCTCAATAATCATGCATAGACTAAGTGGTGCTCGAAAGGCACAAACACGAGAGAGCCAGGCAGGCTTTAGACCAGGAAGAGGGTGTATTGATCATATCTTCACCCTCCGACAGATTCTAGAACATAGTCATTCCTACCGGCGTCTAACAATCATTATATTTCTTGACCTAAAGGTGGAATTCGATTCTGTCGATCGAGAGGTTCTCTGTCGATGCTTGGCTGTAAAGGGAATCCCGAGAAAATACATTGCACTGATTAAGGCACTCTACTCGAAAACAAGCAGCCAGCCAGGTGAGGGCTTATGGCGAGTTGTCATCTGAACTGATGACGACCAGTGGTATCCGTCAAGGACGCCCATTATCCCCTTTTCTATTCAACTTCATCATAGATGTGTTAATGGACTTAACCCTAACTCACTTCAGAGACTCAAAGATTGACTTGTAACCAGGGAATAATCTCGTTGACTTAGAATATGCAGACGATATAGTCCTTCTAGGCGAGGACGCTGACAAAATACAGGAGAGTCTTCTAAACACCTTGAGCTGCAGTCTACGAATGTTTGGCATGGGATTCACTCCCGCCAAATGCAAGATGTTGTTTTAGGACTGGACTACACTGACTCCTTGTTTAGAAATAGGGAGTGAAGTGGCTGGTGGAGCACGTTGACTGCTTCACTTATTTGGGAAGTACCATCAGCTAACACCAACGGGTTGATCTCTGACGAAATCTCAGCAAGGATATAGAGGGCTAGTTTCGCATATGCCAGTTTACGCCGTCTCTAGCGTAAGCGTGATATCCGGCTGGGCTACTGATCAAAGGGCGTGTGTACTGCTCAGTAATCCGCTTCATCCTTCTCTATGGTTGGCTGTGAGACCTTACCATTGAGAATGGAAGACATGAAAAGACTAGCTGTCTTTGATCATAGGTGCCTCCGCTCTATCTCCTGTGTTAAATGGTATAATAAGGTGAACAATATTGAGGTTAGGCGTCGGAGTGCTAGGTAGGTGGGAGGGGAAATCAATTGGCGACGCTGTGAAATTACATCGACTGATATGGTCAGGACATGTGTTACGCGGGCGTTTCTAGTCATCACCCTCCTCGACGTGCAATGTTAGCTGATATAGGGCCAGGCTGGAAAAGAGTTAACGGCGGTCAAACCAAAACACGGCAAGTCTTCCGATGTCCTTCGATTGCCTGCAACTATCTCTAATATCAACAACTCTAAGTGTCCCGCATGATGATGACGAGCCAACTAGTTAGTAGCATGATGGCCACATTGCAAACTTGACTGATGACAGAATTCATCAGTCTGCAAGAACACCAAGGACTAGACACATTACACAATCAAACACTCCAACATACTTGACTTTCACTATCAGCAGGCGCCAAGTTCGAATCCCTTCGTACAAACAGTTAGTGTTGCTCAAAAATTGATACATGGAGGAAATCAATACCGGATAACTAAATATCATCCAGCCTGACTAATTAACTCCAGAAGAAAAAGCAGTTGAACATAATTAATAAGAATAGAACTTCTGGACAGTGGAGGTAGAGTAGCCATAATTCCATTATGGGTAAATTTTGTTTTTATGAAGTCTCACAATGTTATACAGTAATGTTTACTGATGAACACGTTTTGAGCACAATTTATTGCCACTCATAATCATATCAAGGCACTCACTCACACAACTTTCTAACTTCGTTTATATAATTCCATTATTTTTCATCGCTTGACTTGATTGGTAGTAGTATTTTCCAAATTCCCGGTATGATTTAGAAGTCATTGGTATTGCACGTGTTGGGTGTAGATTCAATAAACAAGGATTCAGTAATCAATCTTTCTCTCTCTTCATCTACCTACATTACTTTTCAGGACTTCAACCCTCTCCCACTATGCGATTGTGTGCTTGTGTGTTAATGCCTGCAGTGCAATTACTGAGGTTCTTTTCTAAATTACTTATCTTCTCGGGGTCAACCACCCTTACCTTAGCTAAATTCGTATGTTCCCACAATCTGACTATCCCTGACCAATGCAGTTGATCACATTTTACAGTCATTGTGAGGTATTTCGTAAATCATATTATTTTCAGCTAGGAGTCTCTTTCCGGCGGCGAATTAATTTTCATAGCTGTCCACAAGGCGATCTGCCATTCATCAAGGAGTCAGAATCTTGTTTAAAACAATTGACAGGAGTCTTTATGGGAAAATTGTATGAGCATCGAAGTTATTGGTGATTAATGTTGAACTCGATTATGGGTAAAATTTGCTTTTATAAAGTCTCACAGTGCTGTTATTACAGTAATGTTTACTGATGACCACGTTTCGAGACCCTACGTAGGATTCTGAATAAAGCAGGAATTAGAGTGACATTTAAATCCACAAACTCACTCAGAGACATTCTCTGTAGGTTAAAGGACCCTGTAGGCTGACCTAATTATACAAAATAATATAATTCATGAAAGATTCCCATTTGAGCATTAATCGACAGAAGACCAGTAGTTCAGCGAAGAGTCATTTTTCGGCGGTGAATTCATTTTCATAGCTGTACAATCACAAATATATGTACTCGTTTTATATATATGTGTGTACATTAAATTTGTCAAACGCAAGAAATACAATTAGTAAGTTCAGATGAATTGGATGTTGATATAAGAGGGTAGTGTAACAAAAGTGATGAGTTGTCAGAAACGATTGTTAAAGAAGAGTTACGTGAAGGCGTGAATAGTTTGATGAAAGAGTTGTGCTCAGGGTGTACATGGAAACAAAATAATATACATAATTACACAAGGGTTTTAAGTAGTTAGAAAAATAAGCATACAAACAGGAGTTGAGTCGAATCAACAGATTTGTTACCATGATTGTAGAAGTGGTTGAATAATCGTCTTTTGTATGCTTAACTCTGGTTCCTCTAAATGAATGGCTAGGGCTTTTGCAATGCAAAGAAGACGGAAAAGTATTGTCTTTGGAAGGTTGTTCTTTCTTTTGCAGATTACTTTGAAGGAGGCGTTTGCTGAGATGGAATGACCAGTGGTGATGAGATGCTCGATTATTCCACTCCGTACACGGCCATCACTTCCTTTCTGCTGCCACGCTCCTTGCAACAACATTGAGGGCAGTTTTCTCCAGTCGCCTGCTGATCTGCAGAAGCCCAAACGACAAGATCTCGCACCTGACCACTTCTATGTGTATATATCAGTTCACCTGTATCTGTGGAGCCAGATACATCGGTCGTTCAACGCACATCCTGTCAAAAAGGGTCAAAGAACACTATCCAGCGTGGCAGCAGAAAGGAAGTGATGGCCGTGTACGGAGTGGAATAATCGAGCATCTCATCACCACTGGTCATTCCATTTCAGCAAACGCCTCCTTCAAAGTAATCTGCAAAGGAAAGAACTACCTTCCAAAGACAATACTTTTCCGTCTTCTTTGCATTGCAAAAGCCCTAGCCATTCAGTTAGAGGAACCAGAGTTAAGCATACAAAAGACGATTATTCAACCACTTCTACAATCATGGTAACAAATCTGTTGATTTGACTTAACTTTCGCTTGTATGCTTATTTTTCTACTTAAAACCCTTGTGTAATTATGTATATTATTTTGTTTCCATGTACACCCTGAGCACAACTCTCTCATCAAACTATTCACGCCTTCACGTAACTCTTCTTTAACAATCGTTTGTGACAACTCATCACTTTTGTTACACTACCCTCTTATATCAACATCCAATTCATCTGAACTTACTAATTGTATTTTCGTTTGACAAATTTAATGTACACACACATACAAAACGAGCACATATATTTGTGATTGTACAGCTATGAAAATGAATTCACCGCCGAAAAATGACTCTTCGCTAAACTACTGGTTTTCTGTCGATTAATGCTCAAATGGGAATCTTTCATGAATTATATTATTTTGTATAATTAGGTCAGCCTACAGGGTCCTTTAACCTACAGAGAATGTCTCTGAGTGAGTTTTTGGATTTAAATGTCACTGTAATTCCTGCTTTATTCAGAATCCTACGTAGGGTCTCGAAACGTGGTCATCAGTAAACATTACTGTAATAACAGCACTGTGAGACCATATAAATGCAAATTTTACCCATAATCGAGTTCAACATTAATCACCAATAACTTCGATGCTCATACAATTTTCCCATAAAGACTCCTGTCAATTGTTTTAAACAAGATTCTGACTCCTTGATGAATGGCAGATCGCCTTGTGGACTCAACTTTTAATCATAGAATCCCGGGTTCGAATCCCACCACACCTAATTCAGTCTCAGCATCCAGGTAGTGTGATAAACAGACCTTTCACAGGATAAGTACAGGTACCAGCCTGGTCCATGAAGGTTCTGTTCAGGTGTGTGTGTGGAAGGGTGACTGAACCCTGGCTAGAATGCCTTACTGATCCCCCCCATACTTTATCCCCACTCTCCCACCAAGAAAAATCAATAAATAATCAATAGAAAAAAACTTACTTCTTTAGTTAAATTATGACTAAGCACTTGATCACCAATCCCTAAGCCTTGAACATGACTTAATATAGTATAGACACGTTTATAAAATCCTGGTGGGACACGATTCAATGCACCGTCAATTTTACGTCGACGGCTCCATAGATTACGTAGATCAGATTGAGAGGCGTCATCTCCAGCTGCAGCTGCCGCTGTTGCCTCTTCAATTGTCATTCCAGCAGCAGCAATAGATTGTTTACGTGATGTCATGATATGCTGACGATTAGAGACTGATTTTTTTCTTACAGAACCGGATATTGTCTCCAAAGTGGATTGCATAGTAGTATCTTGATTTGTTATTGTACTACTGGCGGATGATTTGATAGGTGACTAAATTTCACAGGAGAATCAACAACATAAACACACATAAGGGAGAAAATTAAACAAAGAGAACATGATTTAAGCAAGCGAATACGTATTTGCAGTAAATTCTCATCACGTTTTATAATTACATAATCAAATATTAGTCAGAGATATTTGAAACAATATGGATCTGTTCAGACAACTGCCTAAATGAGGAGCTCAAGATTATTAGAGAATTACTTAGAAAAAATGGTTATCCAGAAAAATTCATTGAGAAAAATATGAATTCATCACATAGGAGAGTCAGAATGGCAACAGTTCCGAAAAAACCACTGTTCATAAGACTGCAGTACCTCGGTGACAACATCATCGAAATAAGAACACAGTGCCTGAAGAATGCAGTTAAAAGAGATTTCAGTGCAGCAGACGTAGGTTGTCTCTTCACAACCACCCCTATTCTGTGTTTGAGAAATAAGGACAAACTATCTAAATTTGCCTCTTCTATGTGTATCTACCAGTTTGACTGTAGCTGCCGAGCCAGCTACATTAGGCGTACAATTACACAGGTTCATCATCGTATTTCCGAACATCATCCAACATGGTTAAGCAAGGGACAAACAAGATCTATTCGTAGCTCTATTTTAGCACACCTTCTAGATAGTCAGCATAAGGTTTACGTTAATACTGCATTTGAAATTATTTATCGCATTCCGACTAATCTTAATTTTGCTCTACGATTTCCTCGTCTACAGAGAGCTGAAGCAATAGGAATCCACCTGAAGAAGCCAAACCTGTGGGTTCAGAAGAAATTTGTACAGCCACTTTTCTTACCTTCCTTGGCCATTGTTACATGAATGTATAAGCCGGACTACTTCGCCCCCCTCCCTCGAAACATTTGAAAATTATAATTGTCCAAATTATTTGATTACTTTTTCTGACCACTTCACCTTTAATTACGTGTTATCCTTGTAAAATTAATTTACTCTAACCATTTCTACTTTTTAATTGTGTGTATTGATTTTCTTCGTTAATTATCACCCGCCGCATTGACATGTTGACACTGACTGATTAGTTATTGTTAACAAAAACATATCAGGGCCACTTGATTGGTAAACTGTTGTGTATTGCAATAGAAATGCTATACACTATATATTAGAGTAGAGCCATAGATGAGGATCTAATTGAAAAGTGAATATTTCTTCGCTCAATCTTTCTGCTTTCTTTTTTAATCTAATCCATCTAATGTCAGCTAACATCGTCTGTCAAGGAAGGCGATGGATGATTAGAAATGCATGCGTAATACATGTCTTAGATATCTCAATCGATGTAACTTATCGACCTAATCGGTTGAGTTTCTTCGCTTCCCCTAAAACACACCGCGCATTACCTCAGTATTACTTATTCTATTATGCCACCTAACAAGGGAGATAGAACACAGACATCTATGATTGAAAGACAACTAGCCAAGCTTTTCGTGTCTTACACATGGCCATGTCTGATTAGGGAGGATGGAGTGAACTGCTGAATACTATACCCGTCAACAGCTATCCGGATATCTCTGGTACACCAGAGATGGCATATGTTGGTTGGCAAATGCCAAATGAGCCTTCTCTATCTGTGTTGAGATTTGTCAGTGATCAGTCTGTTGGGATGCAACTTCCAGAAAGAAGTGAAGTGATCAACATACTCCACCAACCACTTCGATCCCTCCTGTCTTCAAGCTGGGAGAGAGTCAATGTAGTTCAGTCCTGCAACATCATCTAACATTTGATAGGAGCATGCGAATCACATGCTAAACATTCGAAGATTGCTGCTCAGTTCAGGGTGTTCAGAAGGCAGTGAATTTTGTCACCGTCTTCACCTAGGTGGGAGGACTATATCATCTGCCTATTCTGAGTCAACGAGATTATTCCCTAATGGTAACAAGTCAATCCCTGGGTCTCTGAAGTTAGTTAGGATGAATTCCATTAGTATATCTACGATGAAATTAAACAGGAATGAGGACGGGCAGTGGATGTTCCTGACGGACACCACTAGTCGTCACCACTTCAGATGACAACTCTCCGTAGGCCCTCACCTGGTTGGCTGCATGAGTCCGAATAGAGCGCCTTGATCATTGCAATGTATTTTCTCGGCATTCCCTTCACAGCAAAACATCGCCAGAGTACCACTCAGTTGACAGAATCGAATGTCGCCTTCTTTTTAAAAAATATTGTTGGACGCCGACAGTAAGTATGCCTATGTTCCAGAATCTGTCAGAGGGTGAAGTTATGATCAATACACATTCTTCCTGATCTGGTTCTGATGTCTTTGTTCCTCCCGAGCACTTAGTCTACGCATGACGATTATTGAGCCTAGAAATTTAGATACCATATTAGTCAAGTTAATCCCCCTGTGATTATCACAGGAAGACTTGTCTCCCTTCTTGTATATCGGGATAATCAGTGACTTACACTAACCCGATAAGACTTCCTCTGATTCCCAGACGCTGCCTTATATCCTATTTAACGCAGACAGTAAACTGTCTCCACCGTCCTTAAACACCTCTGGAGTCATTCTATCCGGTCCCACTGCTTTGCCTCGTTTCAGATTATTGACAGCTTTTGTAACCTCAGTTAGTGACAGATGACGGGTGTTGAACGTGGCTGTAGGCCAATTGAATTGCTCCTCACAGTAATCTTCCCAAATTTCTAGTCATCTTTCCTAAGAGCTAATTACGGTGTCATTTTTCTCAGAGATTGTTTCACTTATCATTCGCCTTTCGCCACCTGTTTCCCTGATAAGTCTAAATAGTTTTCTGTTATATAAAACTATAGTACAGTATGATACTGATAACAAAGTTAGCAGTTCAAATAAAAATAATATTTCCAGTTATCCAAAATCACTCGGAAGAGAGATAACAAATCTTAGTTGAGGTTGAAGGCGATTGGAGGGCAAGGCATTGAAAAGATTTTTTCCCAACACAAAAATTGGGTTGAATATTTTCTTCGATAACTACCTCAGCTATGCTTAGCAATCGAAGGTGTACAAACTTGAGGAAGTGAGTAAGCCCTTTTGTATAGGATTGAAAGGGCAAAATTTTCCTTATCAATTGGTATCCACAAGGTGTGCATCAGTTTTGAACTCCTGACCGACTTACTTTACGACTTCTTTACCTGAACACTTTGGATAATGCTCAAGAAGGTGACGGTGGACATCCTGGGGTCGTCTTGTAATTGTCTCTACAAGAACAATTAGATTTATAAATGTACATTTAGGTAGCTAGATTCGGTAGCTTATCCTTCAGCTGTATTGGAATTATACAACGACTGGTGAAGTTTTAAACGTAATGTTGCGCGGCAAAGGATGTTTTGGCTATTATTCTGCGGATTTTCGATACCAGTAATTCAGCGTCTGAGTCTCCTTTGAACGGTAGTCCCAGTCGGTGTCACAGTGGTTAGGACTCTCGCCGACCATGCACATGGTCCGAGGTTCCAACCCCTGCCGACGCACACCTGATATCTATGGTCGGCCTGCAGAATTTGGGCTACCGATATCCATGCTGAAAATTCCATACTTGTACCAAAAATACGGTGTGGAATCAAGCTGTAATCAATATATATATATATATATATATATATATATATATATATATATATATATATACATGCGTTTCTTCTGCACAGTTTGAAGGCATTTCTTTCCATCTGTTCTCATAATTGAGGCTTTAATGCATTTTTTTTATATCCGTTCTCATATAACACTTGAATATCAATCAAATGATCACTAGCAACTGGCCTTATTCAGGTAGGTAGTTACCTGGGATTCTAGTGGGAAGTTGTGACCAGTAGGTTACAGCAGGTTGGGTAGGGGGGAGGTGTGAGGATAAATACTCGTCAGTGATGACATTGGTTAGTGGTCGTGCAATGTCATGAATTGGCAGGAGCTAGAATTCATGGGCTAGCCATTGGATCGGTCCCAGTGGCTTAATGTCCAACGAGCCCCATTGGCCTTGTAACTAGGTGTCCTGGTTTTGAACTCCGGTGGGTGCGTACTCATGGGCGTAGCAGCTGTTCAGGACTGCCAGGTTTCCTAATGGTTCCCTAACCGATGTTAGCTCATGATGAAATCCTGTAACCGATTTGTCAAATCCCTACAAACCAATATTTGAGTACAGCTCCTACTTTCCTTATCGTCAAGAGAAGCGGTTGTTCAGATTTTTCTAGAACGTAACATCAGGGTACTGATGAGAATTCGTTTCTATTTATAAACGCAACGAACGACAGGGAATGTGTGTATTGACCGACACTTGATTTCTCTCGGTGATAATTTTTATTCGTAATTTTAATGTTTTTTTATGAAGTTGGAAGTTGTTCACCTCACACAAAAACTTCCCTCTTTATCAGTCTTTTTATTGGTTAGTAAGCAGTGCGAATTTTTATAGAGTACACTGTCTGAGAATCGAACCCAGGCGACAATATGTGTTTGGCAAACACTCTTTACCATCGAACACCACCGACGTACGTATGCACAGAGTTGCCAGAACTCAGCCACCCCCTTGATGAATGACCGACAAGCTGGACTCTTAATTGGAAGGTTCTGAGGTAAATCCCTGTTGAGGTTATGGATGGTTAGGATGGAACATCTGTCCAATATCCTCTCCTGGTTTTCAATGGTTCATTAACTGATGTTAATTTCTTGACAAAGCTTGTAACTACTTATAACTTGACAGTAGTATACTACATATCATATTAAAACAATGTCTATACACTATACAGAATTATCAGTGTTTTATTGTTTTTTCGCTCCACACCTTGAAGTTCACTAGAAGTCGATAGTATATTGTGTTCTAGAATGCTATTCAATCTGGAGTACTAACCAATCACAAATGACATATTCTTTTCATCTCCTTTGATGCACAGCAGTAGATCGGTTGAACTTCAATTCAGAAAAACTTCAAGACAGTACATTTTAGTATTCAAGACCATATTTATTTGGTTAAAGGATTTCATCATGAGGTGACGTCGGTTAGAGAACTACTGAAGAACCAGAAAGTACTGGACAGCTGCTTCGTCCTAGTTCAGGACGTTTAGGCAGTACACACCCACCGCCAAGGTTATAACCTAGGACCTTCTGGTGACAAGGCTAGGGGGCTTGTAGACCATAAAGCCAGTTCGATCTTGCCAGTCAAATAACCAACCCATGAATTCTAACTTCGGCCAATTCACGACATATCGCAACCACTAGGCAATGTCATCGCTAGCGAGTATTTGTCCTCACACCCACCCGACCTGTTGTCACGACTTCCCACTAAAACCTCAGGTAACTAACTACCTACTTACTTTGCTATTTATTTAAAATGCAAAACTTGGTGCACTTTAGACATCTGGTAAAATATGACCTCTAATAGTATTGTTTTTTTACTCTGTCGACTATTTAAAACAATCTGATGATTATTTGTTTAAATTTTAGATTTTCCAGTCGATTGATTGGATAGAAGTGCTCCCTGGTCTCAGGTTGACATGTCGGCTTCTTGTGCAGATGCTTCGACGTTCATGTCTGGGCATGTAATTAGAGGTAAATTGGTGGATGATAATTAGCAGTGCCTCTCGTGACGAAAGTGGTGTCTAGTGGATAACGCTTTGGTGTTTGAAACTATGAGCACTGTGTTCGAGCCTCATTGGTGGTGGGAACATCATCACTTATTCACTGGGGAATTCAGGCACATCCAGCTAGCTGATCAGTCCCCAATTGGACGAAATCCGCGTTATCCACCAAGTGAACCTGATGACTAGCAAATTTCTGTTAAACATGTGAAAAAGCATTATCGTCGATGGATGGCACAGCGTATTCCAATACATGAGATGACTGTTCTTGAGTGGTGGTGTGTCCCCCCACCGCGTTCACAAAATGTACTGCTGAACTTTTTACACTTTGTATTCAACCAAATGTCGTCATGTATTACTTCGGAGGAGAAAAAGAAGCGATATCACATAATGGATTGGTCTGCAGCGTTTCAGGTCAGATAGAACCGTGTCATACGACCTACTGTCGTCGATTAATCTTATGTTTGAAGATGCTTTACGAAGAGAAAATATCATGAAATAAACTCCGCTGAAAATTTCGTTCAGGATAGAGTGATTACTATTATTTTTTCTAGTAGTATAATACTTAGCTAAAAGTTTTATGTTCAGAAAACCTAATTGATCCCGTTCGAGTGGTCTAACTTATCTAGTTGGTCTTATGGTCAACTCAAGGAAATTTTGTCTAACTGGGTCAATGTAAAGAAAGTATGTTGAGTAAGAATTCGGTCACTGAATCCTTTCTCGTCCATTAAAATCAACCGCACGTAACATGTACACAGTAGGAATGATGCAACGTCGCCAATAATCCAGAGATATGGAAAATATTATCTAACATATCTTACAATTTGCTCCTGAAGAATTACCCATTACCTTCCCCCCTCCACAACGCAACCTGGACTACAGAGCTATGGAATATACCTTTGCACCAATGAAAAAGCATTAATTTATAATACAGCTTCACGATTGTAATTTATATAACATAACTGATCGTACCTGTAAAAATAGCTTAGATTTATTGTAAACACCCGTTTATAAAAAAATAGAAACTGTGATTATTATTATTAGTCTACATTGAGTACAATTCACTTCTGGAGTTACTCACGATGAAAATGCTGACGAAGCTATACAAGTGTATCACTTATTTTAAACTATTATTACGTAATTTGGATATGAACCAAGAATAAGACTCGATGCTGTACACACAGCTAGTTATATTGGGGATATGACTTGAAGCTTTATTTTTTCCCAAGTATCTGTAATCCATCTAAAACATACTTGGTATAAGTGTAAATGCTGGGCACTATGGTAGTAAGTAATTCCATATTATTCAAGTGTTGGTTTGTAGGGATTTGATTGGTTTCAAGATTTCATCATGGGCTGACATTAGTTAGAGAACCATTGGAAAACCTGGGAGTACTAAACAAGTGTTTCGTCCTAGTTTGGGACTCTTCATCAGTACGCACCCACTGGGATTCGAACCCACGACCTTCCGGTTACAAGGCGAGCTCGTATACCATTCAGCCACTGGGACCCGATTCAATGGCTCGTGCATTGGCAGAAGTTATAATTCAAGGACCATTGGATCGGGTCCCAGTGGCTGAATGGTATACGAGCTCGCCTTGTAACCGGAAGGTCCTGGGTTCGAATCCCAGTGGGTGCGTACTGATGAAGAGTCCCAAACTAGGACGAAACAGCTGTCCGGTACTCCCAGGTTTTCCAATGGTTCTCTAACTAATGTCAGCTCATGATGAAATCCTGAAATTCCATATTAGTTTGTTTAGTAGATATATCACACACAGAGTGAAACAGTATTATTTACTGGATGACACAATCTCGAAAAAAATTTATTGCTGTTCATAATCATATCAATTGTAATCACAAGACTTAGAAACCTGAGTTTTGTAGTCATCTTTGTCCTCTACTAGTTGTTGTAGAGGCAGTAGAATTTTCCAGATATGCGGGACAGGTGTTGAATCATTCCTAGGATAAGAAATCTAGAGAATAGTTCAGCTATACCACTCACTACAGGCAATTACATACAACCATACAGTATAAGACGGATGGGATAAGATGACAGTTTTAAAATCTAGTGTAACAGGGTGGAGGGAAAGATTGATAATAGCGGAAGCTTTGTTTATCGAATCAACTGGGAGAGAATACGTGTTATAGGAATGATTTAACTCCTGTCCCAGACGAATATCTAGAAAATTCTACTACCCTAACGACGACAAATAGGAGAGAACAAAGAAGACGAAAAACCACACGTTTCGAAGTCATGTGATTATAATTGATTGGTATAATTATGAACAATAAATTTTATTCGGAACCTTGTCATCCAGTAAATAATACTGTTTCACTCTCTGTGTGATACATATAATAAACAAACTAATATGTAACATATACTTGGGTTTTTTTGTTAATGCGAAGACAATATCTCTATATTTCTTGATGTGCTCCATTGAAACACTAGTTATCACATTGTTCCCACAAACCAAAGACAAAAATGACAGCAACCATGTAATCTCACCATACACCAAATTTATATAATTTAAATATTACTTATCCAAGCATAAGAAGCATCGTTTCAACTACACGCGGAACTGACGAGGATATCAAAGAGAGGATGTGGAAAGCAAGGCAAGCTTTTATTTCTCTCAAATCTGTGTCGAGGTCAACAGCACTCACCATCAAAAATAAGATCCGGATTTTCAACTTCAATGTGAAGTCAGTCAGTGCTACTATATGGATCAGAGACTTGACGCGTCATATAGAGCATCTCAAACAAACTACAGACCTTTATTTAGAGTCGTCTTCGCTCAATACTCAAGATCAGATGGCCGGCCAGAAGAGATTAGCAACAGGGATCTCTGACAATGAGCGAATCAACCCAGCAGGAACCGATTGTGAAACAAATAGGCAGGAAGAAATGGAGATGGATTGGCTGGCCATACACTGAGGAAACCATCAAGTGACATCACTAGACAAGCCACTGCTCGAGTGGAACCCGAAATGGAAGCGGCGATTTGGTCGTCAGTGCAAGGGTAACTTGGAGGAGGTCATGTGAAGAGGAGATGAAAGGAAGTGTACAGACTTGGGGCGGGGTGGAAAAGTTGGCAGAAAACAGAAGGCAATGGAGATGCGCAGCTGAAGCCCTATGTTATTGATGATGCCTGTAAACTGGCGTCCCTCATGTCCAAGAAGTGAGAATATATTATTATTATTTTTATTACTGACATAATAAAATTAAAGATATGAAATATACCGGAAAGTTGTGTGGCGTGAGTGAACACACCTTGATATGATTTTGAGTACAACTTATTACTCAAATGGGAAGCGATGAGTGGATCGTCGGTGCGAGGGTGACATGGAGGAGATCGTGTGACTACAACGAGCAGGAGGAGGAGGAGGAGATGAGAGATGATGGACAGTCGTGGAGCTAGCCAGCTGAAGAGGACAGCAGAATATAGAACAAAGTCAGTGGAGGTGTGTTGTTGAAGCCAGCCCTATGTTCTATTCGGAACCCAGGGGAATAATAATACATACATACATACATAAAAGTATCTTTGTAAAACAATTTTTAAAAGCTTATTAATAATTATTATTCACTCACCAAATGAGTGGATTTGCGAGCGTTATTTCTATCTAAAAAGGCACAAGAGAAAAAGAGACAAACTCAATGACATAAATAAATAAAAGTTGCAATTCTGTTTATTAGATGAATATATCACACACAGTCAGTGAAACAGTATTGCTATTCACTGGATAACGAAGCTTCGATTACAATCACCCATTATTGTTCATAATCATAGAAACCAACTATAATCCTATGACTTCGACAATTGAGTTTTATAATTTTAACTGCATGGAGGATTTCATCATGAGCTGACATCTCACTTAGAGAACTATTGAAAAACCTGGAAGTACTGGACAGCCGTTTCGCTTTAGTTTGGAAATCTTCAGCAGTACGCATCCCACTGCAGTTCGAACCCAGGACTCTGTGGTTATGAGGCGAGCACGCATACCATTAAGCCACTGGGACCCAACCCAATGACGAATCCATGAATTCTAACTTTTGCCAATTCACGACATATCGCGACAGCTTCGCAATATCTTCTTCGATGAGTGAGTTACTGCATCATCTTCAACCTGCTGCACCGTAATGGTCATGGCTTCCTACTAGAACCCAGGTACTTACCTACCTGAATAGGGTTAGTCGCTAGTGAGCATCAGATTAATTTTCAAGCAATGGTTTTTTGTAGGGATTTTTTTGTTTAACTGCATGGAGGATTTCATCATGAGCTGACATCAGTTTTATAATTTTCTTTGTTGTTTTTTTTTTTGTTATTCGTCGTGGCAGGGGTAGTACAATTTCCCAGATGTCTGAGTGGATAAGTGTTGAATCATTCCTATTACAAGTGCTGGGGTAGTTAATTCGATCAATCTCCTCTTCCACCCTGCTGTGACATTAGATTTCAAAACTGTCATCTTATCTCATCCATCCTACTGTATGGTTGTGTGTAATTCCATGTAGTGAGTGCTATCCACAGCTGAACTGTTCTGCAGATTTCTTATCTTAGTTTTGCGTCAACTAATCTACATTTTGTTGCTAGATTTTTATGCTCCACCAGTTTGACTGACTGACTGACCCAGTTTTACTACTTCTATTCTTGTGTTTGACCTGACAATCATCGCAGACAGGGTATTAGATAAACAAAATTGTTTTGTTTAATTAGCTCCACTGGCAGGATCATTTGTCCAACAAAGCTTGTTTCTTTAATTGAGTTTGTTTGTAAGAGCGGATGTACTGCTTAGAGCATTCCGCTGCGTCCTCCTTTGCGGCTGGCTGTGAGACCTGGCCATTGAGAGTGGAAGACCTAAAATGCCTGGCGAGCTGTTTTTGATCATTGGTGCCTGCGTTCTACCTCCCGTATGAAGTGGTATAATAAGGTGAGCAATATTGAGGTTAAGCGTCGCGTCCTAGGTGAGGAGGGGAAATCAATCGACGGGGCTGTGAAATTACATCGACTGAGATGGTGGATGATATTGATTCAGTTGATAGTGAATTTGCGAATTAAATATCCAGCTCATAGAACACAACCACATCAACAAAATGTGTTACATCTGCCAAGTCATCGCCTTCCTCGACGGGCAATGTAAGCTGATATAGGGTCAGGTTCGGAAAGAGCTAGCGGTAGTCAAACCAAAATGTGGCCTCATGAGTCAATGAAATCCACAATATTTAGTTTAAGCCAGGTAGGAAGATGTAGACTGGCCTCCTAGTTGGGATCCTCGGGATGGTAAAAACCAATGGCTGAAAACAAACAGTGATATTGCTCAAAGTGATCGTTCCCAATGTCTGGTGCAGATGCATCTACTCCTTGTGACTTATAATTTTCAATGAAACTATATATTGTTCTTCGTTATTACTATTCCTTTTAATCTTATGCACCTCTTTACTGTCTCTATTATGCATTTCTTCTACTTTCTTCTCTTGCTTTGTGTGCTACATGGAGTGGAGTGTGGCGATTTGAACTGGTGCACACCGGTGTAAAGTCCTATATCAGAAACAGACAATTGAGTTTGTTGGCACTCTGAATGCCAGTCACTTTTATTTCTGTATTGTTGAGAATTCTCCAAGGTATGGAATTAAATACTATCACAGTGCCCAAGTTTTACACACATATATTAAAATTCGTATATACTCACAGACGATAAAATAAACTGAAGTCATATTATTTCGTTTGACTCTGACTAGTAATGAGGTATCTAGGATGCAGGTTTCGACTCTGAGTGGAAACACCACACATCACTACTACTTGGAGATGCAGGCACACATGTCCAGTTGACGAGGCCCGAATGGGACGAAATGGGAATCCTCAGTTTCACATTGCTAGTGTCAATACTAGAAGCGAAATAAGATGCCAAGATAGACCGAGTATTTCACTCCTCATAGAATCCTATAAAGAAAAATGATTTCTGCAGGTTCAGTCAACAAGACGTGAACAAGATGGAACACTCTTAAAAAAAAGCCGACATGGAGGAACACATAACTCATTAACTTGCACTAGTCGGGTGTCTCTAATATACGAAACGAGACCTGATTCACACAACAAACCACAGAATCCTCAGCATTTGCAGCATTGACACTGTGGAAAACGAGCTGAACACTCTGAAGATATCCATGAAGCTTCCAAAAGACTTCTCCACTTAAATCTGGAATTCAATGGAGACTCATCGACAGAAATATGGAGAAACCGACTGTCCAGCTCATTGAAGAAAGCCTTCTTCGTGGATGAACTCTGACTAACTTTCTCCACGAAACCAATAATTCGGATGAACGTGAAGGATAAGTCACCACTGCTGACTGGCCTCATTAGTGTGCATTTCACCAATTCACATGCTTGTGTAGAACTAGGTATGTCCGCTGTACTCAGAGTTTGTCGTCCAAACGTGTATCATCGAATACTTACAAAGGAGGACCCCCCCACCCCACCCCACCAAACAGCAGTTCCATCCTAGAGTCTGGACACCAAGCTAACCCACAAAGAAACTTCGAAGTTATTCACAGAACATCTAGGAATTTCGCTAAACTAAGCGTACAACAAATCGAGCTTCTTTAAACCCAGCAGAAGCGATGGCGATTCATCACATGTTAAATCCTCAAACTCTGCATACACAGAAGAACTTTGTACAGTCATTAAATCTACAATGGACCTGATCTATCTTAACACCAAATATGTAACTTTTGCATTATTTTCTTTCCCACACAACCCTATTACATTTCTATGTCTTATTATTATCACAGTCCTGTTAACCTGACCCTCGTCCAAATATTAGTTGAATTCGACTTAATCCCGTCAATTATATAACATCACTCTGTTTAATTATTGAATTCAATTTTAGATTTTCCCGTCAATTGGTTGGACCGAAGTGTTCGGCGCTGGGTTCCAGACCCGGTAGAAACATTATTACTCACTGGCTGACGAGTCCCCAACAGGACGAAATGTCCATCCTCGATTCCACTGCCAGTCACAATCCACCAATTAACTCCATTTAATTATTCAATTTTATCTTAATTTCGACCCGACCAAGACTTTGTATATTACGTAATATGTTACCTGAAAATTTACAATTCTAATGACACATCACCCAGCATCAACAACAAAATCCAGTCGGATTTTCAATACAAATGTGGTCAAGTCAGTGAGTTCTTCTATACGGATCAGAAACTTGGCCGACGGGTCACAAAGAATATTTCCAACCAACAGCCTGTTGCAGACCTTCATCAACAACTGTCTTCTCCTTATACTTAAGATCAGATGGCCTGGTTGGAAAGAATCACCAACAAGAAACTATGGGAACAAACAAAACAAGAACCAATCGCCAACTAACAAATATGCAGGAGAAATAGGAGGAGGCCACTGGATGACATCGCGCGCGCGTCAGACAATCGCTCGAGTGGAACCAGACCAAAAAGAAGGGGAGTGGCGAGTGGGACGTCAGTGCAAGGGTGACATGGAGGAGATCGTGTGAAGAGAGAGGAGTTGAAAGAGTATGGAGTAACATTGATGGATGCAGGTGAAAAGTACAGCAGCAGAAGACAGAAGCAAGTGGAGACGTGCAGTTGAAGCCTTCCTATGTTCCACTAGGAACCCAAGGGAACAATAATAATAATGACACATCTTTTGAAGTATTCCTTTTGTTGCTAAGAAAATTGCGACTGTACATCTCGAGAATGATATCTCCGGAAAGGATAACTCTTCCCTGAGCGCCTTTTTATTTTCAGATCATGGAATATACACATTTGATCATGAGGAAAACAGACGGTTGCAACGAAGAAAATGTTTCCTTTTCGACGAAGTCATCAACTAACCGGGGCTGTACATTCGTGTATTTATTAAATAAATGCGTGGGAAAGTTCCAGAATAATTTCCGGCCAAGCGTCAAATTATTAATATTTAACCTTACAGAAAAGGTAAGTTCAGGTCTGCAAGATAGAATTTTGTATGGAGAAATGTAGGAACTTAATGAATCTAACATGCGTCTGATTTCTCACAAACTGGAAGTGAAAATCAACAAGTTGGCGATAGAAGAAGCATTCAGAGAAGGTAGGATTTCCTTCAGATGGACATAGACAAAAGAGAGGTGATGAAGATTCCTGACAAACAGCAACAGCAACAACAACAGACAGCAATCAGCACAAATAGGAGGGACCTGAAAGAAACAACCTCCTTCACCCACCTACCTAGCTACCTGGAAGGCATCGTTTCAACTATGGGCTGAAGGAACTGATGAGGATATCAAAGAGAGGATGTGGAAAGCAAGGCAAGCTTTTATTTCTCTCAAATCTGTGTGGAGGTCAACAGCACCCAGCATCAAAAATAAGATCCGGATTTCCAACTTCAATGTGAAGTCAGTGCTACTATATGGATCAGAGACTTGCATTGAGCGTCATAAAGAGCATCTCAAACAATCTACAGACCTTTATTTAGAGTCGTCTTCGCTCAATACTCAAGATCAGATGGCTGACCTGAAAAGATCAGCAACAGGGATCTCTGACAATGAGCGAACCAACCCAGCAGGAACCGATTGTGAAACAAATAGGCAGGAAGAAATGGAGATGGATTGGCTGGCCATACTCT